AGTAGAGACGGGGTTTCACCATGTTGACCAGGATGGTCTCGATCTCTTGACCTCGTGATCCACCCGCGTCGGCCTCCCAAAGTGCTGGGATTACAAGCGTGAGCCACCGCACCCGGCCTAAGTGTATACATCTTAACTAAGGTAGATTTTTTTCTACTTTTGAGAACCTTTTGCTCATTAACTGGAAACAAGACAAATAAGAACTTCTGTGGCTTTCTTTCGGAAGGCAGGCAGCTGGGCTCATGTTTCTCAGGATCTCTTCTTCTCACTCCAGTGTTAATCACTGTAAGAAGTTAACCACAAGGCTGGGTGCAGTGACTCATGGCTGTAATCCTAGCACTTTGGGAGGCTGAAGTGGGAGGATCGCATGGGCCCAGGAGTTCAAGACCAGCCTGGCCAACATGGCAAGACCCCATTTCTATTAAAAAAACAGCAGTTGACACAATGAGATGTAGAGCTGGCTGCAGTGGTACTCATCTGTGGTTCCAGCTACTCAAGAGGCTGAGATAAAAGTGTTGACTGAGCCCAGGAGTTTGAGTCCATTCTGGGCAACATAGTGAGACCCCCATCTCTAAAAATAAATAGGCTGGCCATGGTGGCTTATGCCTGTAATCCCCACAGTTTGGGAGGCTGAGGTAGGAGGATTGCTTGAGCACAGGAGTGTGAGACCAGCCTGGGCAACATAGAGAGAACCTGCCCCTACCAAAAAATAAAAAAAGAATTAGCTGGGCATGATGGCATGTGCCTGTGGTCCAGCTATTCTGGAGGCTGAGGTGGGAGGATCCCTTGAGCCCGGGAAGTTGAGGCTGCAGTGAGTCATGATCATGCAACTGCACTCCAGCCTAGGCAACAGAGCAAAACCCTATCTCAAAAACCAAAACACACACACAAAATAAATAAAGGATTTTCAAGAATTCATTTTGAAATTGTGATTAAAGTCACTAAGGAAAAATATTTTGCTTCATAATTAGCATTTTTGTGACTATAAATGACCTTTGTTTCTCTGAATCCTGATATGGTAATGTGGTGTGAGGGTTTTTTTTCTGATGGTGGTCGTATACTGTGCTTTTCTTCTTTCTTAACTTGCTAAGTACAGTTATTCTTTCAGTTTTCTTTTTCTTTTAGTCCTTAATTCTTCTGTGCTTTTTTTTTGACCAAACTGTGAGCTTTTTGTGGAAAGTAGGTTTTACATATATTTTTGTTTTCAGTCTTATCATAGTGTCTGACATAGGTAGTGGTTACTCTAAAAATTTGTTCAATTTACTGATTTATTTAAAAATTCACACTTAAGCACATACATTATATATAATATGTTTTTAACTTTTTATTAAAAAATTTTTTTAAATTTAATTTTTTTTTTCTAGAGACAGGATGTTGTTCTGTCACCCAGGCTGGAGTGCAGTGGCCTGATCATAGCTCACTGTAAGCTTGAAATCCTGGACTCACGCAGTCCTTCCACGTCAGTCTGTGGAGTAGCTAGAACTATAGGTGTGTGCTACCCTCCACCCCGACACAGTTTTTTGCAGAGTTGAGGATCTCACTGTGTTGTCCAAACTGGTCTCAAACTCCTAGCCTCAAATGATCCTCCCACCTCAGCCCTTCAAAATGCTGGGTTGATAGGTGTGAGCCACCACAATTGGCCCTTTAACTTTTTACTTTGTGAAAATTATAGATTGACAAGAGGTTGCAAAGAAATGTACAGGGAAGTCCTGTGCACTCTTTAGCCTCCCCCAGTGATAACATCTTTTATAAATGTACAATATCAAAACCAGAAAATTGGCATTGGTGCAGTTTGTGGAGCTTATTCAGATTTCACTAGTTAGACTTGTACTTGTTTGTGTGTTTGTGTGTAACTCTGTGCATTTTTATGTTATGTGTACAGCATTGTATAACTAACACCATGATCAAAATACTTAACTGGGCTGGGTGCCGTGGCTCATGCCTATAATCCCAGCACTTTGGGAGGCCAAGGTGGGCAGATCACTTGAAGTCAGGAGTTTGAGCAGCCTGGCCAACATGGTAAACCCCATCTCTACTAAAAACACAAAAATTTGCTGGACGTGGTGGTGCACGCCTGTAGTCCCAGATACTTGGGAGGCTGAGGCAGGAGAATCACTTGAATCCTGGAGCTGGAGGCTGCAGTGAGCTGAGGTCGTGCCACTGCACTCCAGCCTGAGTGACAGAGCAAGACTTCATCTCAAAAAAAAAAAAAACAACCCCAAAATACTTAACTACACCATTGCCCCAAGATTCCCTGTCTCCTTTTTATAGCCATATTTGTCCCGCCCATCTCTAGCCTTTGACAGCCACTAACCTGTTCAGCATCTCTATAATTATATATATATATATATATATGTGTGTGTGTGTGTGTGTATATATATATATACACACACACACATACACACACACACACACACACACACACACACATTTAGATATATATATTTTTTTCTGAGACGGAGTTTCACTCTTATTGCCCAAGCTGGAGTGCAGTGGTGCGATCTCGGCTCTCTGCAACCCCTACCTCCTGGGTTCAAGTGGTTCTCCTGCCTCAGCCTCCCCAGTAGCTGGGATTACAGATGTGTGCCATCATACCCAGCTAATTTTTTGTATCTTTAGTAGAGACAGGCTTTCACCATATTGGCCAGGCTGGTCTCGAATTCCTGACCTTGTGATCCCCGGCCTCAGCCTCCCGAAGTGCTGGGATTACAAGCGTGAACCACCACACCCAACCATAATTATATATTTTTACACATGTTACATCAGTGGAATCATGCAGTATCTTTGTGAGATTGACTTTTTTCATTCAGCATAATTTCCTTGAAGTTTAACTTATTATATATAAATAGTTCTTTTTTATTGCTCGGTGGTATTACAAAATATGGATGTACCAAAATTTATTTAACTGCTCACCTGTTGAAGGACATTGACTGTCACAAATAAAGCTGAACATTCCTGTACTTTTTTTGCATGAAAATAAATCTTCATTCTCTGGGATTATGCCCAAGCCTAAGAGTGTATACATTATATTTTGGTATGTTGGAAGTCAGAAATTCTAATGTTACCAATATAGATTAATTAGCAAAATTTCTGTTAAGATGCCAGGGAGGAAAAGTTTATCATCAGTTAGTTCTGAAGATAAAAATCTCAAATGATGAGAAGTATTTTTTCAGTATGTGGGAAGTCAGAAATTTTAATGTCATCAGTATAAATTAATTAGTAAAATTTCTAAGATGCCAGGAAGGAAAAATTTTTGCCTTTTTTTAAAAATTTTTTTTTGAG